TTTTCCAGGAACACTATGATGCATGTGGGTGAAGAAAACCAAGAATAGGATCTGGGTCACTAATATTTTAGAAACTATAAGAAAGAACATTTCTGTAGCTAAATAAATCCCAGAAATATATTGGTTGGCATAGGAGAAGGTGATATGGTAGAAGTTAAGAAAGACATATAGTTAAAAATAAATTTGAAAAACTCATAACATAGGCATTGGCAGGGGAAATAATTTCACAAATGTGGGAAACATTTTAAATTGTGTGAGTTCAGTTTCCATATTTTCTTTTAGGAATCTGAGCGGAAAATTGAGCGGCTTCACGAGGAGAACAAGAAACTTGAAAATGAGTTACAGTCCAAGGGATCATGTAACATATCCTAAAAATCCCAGGATCATAATTTCCTAACTAGCTCCCTCCACTCCCAGCCCCCAGAGGGAACAACTTGAATGAGCAACCTCTGAATGTCAAAGAGTTGCCTCTCAACTAAAATTAGAAGCATGATGTTTGCAATTTTATTTGTTTTCTTAATCCTCACCCAAGGATATTTCTTCCATTGATTTTTAGAGAAAGCAGAATTGAAGAGGGACAGGCAGAAAGAGAACCATCAATGTGTCTGCGAGCCAGTGCTCTATCCACTGAGCCAAATTGGCTAGGGCTGATGCTTGCAATTTTGTTGAACCATAAAGTTTGTAAAGAAGAAATAAACTGTGAGGACAATGTTTTTTTTTCTACAAAGTGATTCAATTTGTGCTTAATTATAAGAGTGATTAGCATGGTTCTTAAATGGATCCAATATTTGAAATCAGGCATATTGAGTCTAGAGACACATTAAATTGTATAATGGGATGCATTTTGCAATGAGGAGATAGCAGGATAGACTTGCTCTCTCTCACATACCTCACCCTTCCAAACATACTCAGTCCTATACTATTGCTCAAGGGTTTTCTTTGGTTTGGGGATAGGGTTTGGGGAATTGTAAACTTGGGGCAAAAATAATGGAAGTGAACAAAGCCATGGGACACATTGATCATCACTCCTGCCAAGTAGTCTATGGCTCATGCCTGGCTGCAAATAAGGGAGACCTGGGCCAACTGATTGAAAGGTGCAGACAGTTCACAGTTCTTGGTGGCTGTACCTGATTGGGTGGTGGCT